ACGCTAAGTCCGGCCAGAGGTCATGGGAAGCCCCGCCAGGTATATGAGAAGGGTACCCATGGCACATGCAGAGGCCCAGAGATGTGAGAGAATCCAGCGGGGTTGGGAGCAGCTGGCTGAGCCCTGCTGGCCTTGCCAGGTTCACCCTGAAGAGTGTTCCCAAGATGAACCCCAATTTCCGTGCTGGCTTTAGCCAAAAACCTCTCACAATATTTTTCAGTTAGTTTGGGATGGCAGTGGGGAGAGAGAGAGGAAAAAAAAAAAAGAAAAGAAAAGAAAAAGAAAAAAGAGGGAATTTTTTTTTCCCTTTTGCATATGGTGGCACAGATGGGCCCATGATCCGTAAAAACTGTCTGCAATTAAACTCCCACTTTGCATGGCTGGATTTTGTCAGTCGTCTGAACCATGAGTGGAGGGCTCCACACTGACAGACAGGAGCGGTGGGGGGTGGGGTGGGGGGTGAGGCAAGATTCCTCAGGATGGGCAGCAGCCCAGGGACCTCGGATGGGGACCTGATGGATGGCTGGGTGGATAGGGAGTGACAGGGGACACATATCAGCTCTTTCTCTAGGTAGCCCATGGCGTTTACCAGGACAGCCAGAGAGCTGGGTGGGGCCTCGGCTAGGACTGGGTGGCAGGACTGCAGGTGAGGTGGAGAGGGAGGCTAATCACGGTCAGGCCCTGCCAGAAACCGGGTCTGAGGCCTGCAACGGGGGCGGGAGGGTAGGTGCCCCCGCCGCAGCCCGCCACGATGGGGGTTCCTTAACCGCAGTCCAATTTGCAGGTGCAGGGCCAAGGAGCCAGAGCCTGGAGCCCGGTTGGCAGGAGGGGATGGAAAACGGTGCCAGGAAGAGCTGCCAAAGGCCAGAACCGACGCACTCTGGTCCCCGGAGGAATGAGTCCAGCCTCCACTTAGGGGAAGCAGGTAGGGAAACCAAGGCGCGTGCCAAGACGCTCTCAAGGATCTGAGCCGGCTCTGCCAAACTAATGGGTTTTGCATGGGTCAGACTCTTCCCACGGGCTTCCTCCTGCTACCCCTGGGCTCCTAGAGCGGGTCGACGCCGGCTCCAGCTGCTGCCCTGGGATGCTCCGTTGTTTGGGTTAACGAATGCCTCATTTGGCGTTGGGACATCCTGAGATCACTAATAATTGTCCCATGATGGAAGAAATAAGGCCCTGCTGGACCTTTCCCTGCCCGCTCCACGCTGGGAGAGAAAAGTCATAAAAACAGCTTGCTATCTCAGCTACTGAGGCTCCGACTGGATGTCACTGCTAATTGGGTATCACACCCTTGTCTTGTTCTCTCAGAAGCTAAATCAAGGAAGCGCCACTGCCGCGGACTAATTATATCTCCGGCCTGCAGCTTGTCTCTCCCTTTATTGAGTTAAAAAATGGTCACGAACCTTCATCTTTCATCCCCCGCCCCCCGCCCCCCCCCCCCAGTGCCGGGCCCACACTGTCCTCCGGGCGAAGCTGCTCAGGTGCACACTGTGCAGTGGAAGGTCGAGGAGAGGCCCCCAAGACAAGGCAGGGCTGTGGAGGGCTGAGAAGGCCCCTGCCCCGGGTACCTGCTTAGCCTCCTCCCTCCCCGGCCACTCCCATGCCAGGCCTGGGTATTCCAGCTTTAATGGAGAGGGGGACTCTGGGCTCGCTCCACCTAGCAGCTGGATCCCCTGGGTGCTGGTGGCAGGGGGAGCATTTCTGCCCTGTAAGCACGCATGCATTCATTCAACCTACCTGGATGTCTACCTACTGTGTACTAGGCACTCTTGTCTACAGCTTCTAGTAGCCCGGAAGCAGGTAGTATCAAGCACAGCACCCTCATTAGTAGAGGTACTAGATACTGAGATGGTACCTCATGGCTCCTCTGCTCAAAGCTGCCTCCACCAAATGTCAAGGCCAGCATGTAGCTCCTTCCAGTCCCCTCCCAGTCATATCCTGAGGGCCCTTTCACCTAAACAGTCCCACCCACCTGTCACGCTGTCCCTGCCACACTGCCTCTCAGTCCTTCAGGCTTCAGAACACATGGCAGCTTGTTCAGGAGGCTGTCACATCTGCCTGGCACTCCTGGGCTGTGGCCTTTGGGTCCCAGGTTTGAAGTGTGTCAAGCTATACTGCTTAACAGTGCTGAACTTCAGCCTTCTCATCTTTGAAATGGGCCGAACTCTTCCTAGAGGTATAGAGAGGCGTGTGGGTGCCCTGTGGGGTGATGAATGAGAGGGTGTCTGGGAAGAACTCGGTAAGCACTAACTGTAGAGAAATTCCAGGCTACAGGTGCTTTGGAACTTGTATGGCGGGTAGTAACTGACCCCCACACTTAAATAGTTCTGAAACAACCCCTAGACTCAAAGAAGGCCCCTCACCATCTCCAGGTATGATCCCCTGGCCCTCTGAACCACAGACGGCAGAGGGACCCCTGAGCTCATTACGGCCAGGCCGTGTTTTAGCTCATAGGCCCTAGTGACTGATTGGCGCTGGATGCCCAGAGCGCTGGAAGGAGCCCAAGGTCAGGAAAAGAACGAGGCAGAGGAAGAGGGCAGCGACTGATTGGCAATGTCTGCCAAGGGCACCCTGGCAGAAGGGGAGCCGGGCCTGCCACAGGACTGACCATCCTTGACATTTTAAGGGATGCGCTTGCCTCTGGGTTGAGCTAGGGGGCAACTTGCTCAAGGTTGTGCAGAATGTGGAGAGCTGGCTAGTCAAAAGTAGGCCCCTGGGCTCCTGCTCGGGCATCTCCCTAGGACAGCCTGCCCGGTCCTGCCCTCTACAGAAGAGGACCCTGCTCACCTGCCATGTGGCCCTGGCTAGAGACTTCCCCTTCACTACAATGAGCCTCACTTCTTCACTTAAACAACAGGGATAAAACTGCCCTTGGCGGGACAATAGGAGCCTTAAATAAGGATTCCAAAGGTCATGGCAGGAAGCTGGGTCTAGCACACAGCAGATGTCAACGGTGATTCTTATGACAGAGGAGTTGAAAGGGGGAAGGACCATGCTGGGCGGTGGTGGCGCACGCCTTTAATCCCAGCACTTAGGAGGCAGAGCCAGGTGGATCTCTGTGAGTTCGAGGCCAGTCTGGTCTACAGAGCGAGATCCAGGACAGGCTCCAAAGCTACAGAGAAACTCTGTCTCGAAAAACCAAAGAAAAAGGGGGGGGGGGGGGGGCGGACCAGAAAGCAACAGGACCTTCCCCTCCAGGGAGCCCTCCCTGCTCTAAGTTTCTACCTGAGTGCCCACATGCTTTGAGAGAGCTGAGGCCTGCAGGGACCGGGGCCATCTCACCCCCTGGCTCGCTGGCACAACAGCCACACACAGTGAATCCCTCTATTGTGGCAGTCAGCCCAATCCAGCCTCTCCCTCAGCGCTCACCACCTTGTGTCCAGTGCCAGGAGCGGAGAAGCCCTCTGGCTGGGCAGCAATGGGCATTCCTGTTCACCGCCCACCAGCTCGCATTTCAGCCAGACCTCACAGCCTTCCTCTCAGGTGGACTCTGGGCCCACCTGACAGATGAGGAGCCTGTGGTCACACAGATGGCGAGGGTGTATGGGCCTGGAGAAGCTGCTATGTCTGCCTCCAGATCAGTGCCAAACTAGGCCTTGGCTCTGCCAGACGGCTGGACGGCCGGAGCCAGAAGTGAATCTTGAAGCAGACAGCTGATGGCGGGACTCTTTCCTCCCAGGGAGGCCCCTCTCCCTACAGACCCTGGGTCATTAAGTTCTGTGTCTACACGTCTTAGAGCCTGGTCACAGCCAACGCCTCTGGCCTCACCTCCTGACCTCCCAGGCCATTGTCCCCCGGGCCTCTATACAATAACAAGATCTCCTGGGTGGGCGGGGGGGTGGGGGGGGGGGCGGGCAAACAGCTGCTAGAGCTGGGGCAATGGCTTGATCTGGACAGCTGAGGTGACTGGGCAGGACCTGAGCGAGTGTCCTGGACACACAAAATTTTCCCACCCACAGCCCATAGGGGAACTGCCATTGCCAATAAACAACCAGGAAACTGATCTGGATGGGAACACACATACCCAATGAGGAGAGAGACTAGGGTTCCACCCCAGACAGGCCTAAAGACCCAAGGCCCCTGCTGAGCTCCCCAGTCCCTAGGCCATGATGAAGTCCCTCCTCCCTTGGACCACATGGGACCCTTGGCTTGGACACTGAGATGATTCCCTCCCCCGCAACACCCTTATGAGTTTCTCTCTCCTTGACCCACTCTCCCCTCCCGTAAGCTGTCCTTTTCGGACCACGCTAAGGGTACTCCCTCTGCCAGCTTGACACCCCCACGCATCCTGGGTTGGGCAGATTCTCCGCCCCTCTGTCAGGAAGCCCTCTCTGAGCAGCTGCAGCCTTTCCCTCGTGGGGATCCCTCCACCCTTGCGCCTACCCAAAATATCTGAAGGCCTCTTCTCCCAGAGGCCCCAGCAACAGTGGGCACACCAGGAGTCCCTCATCAAGACCGAGACTGTGTGTCTATGCAAGTCCAATCACCCCTCCTCACTGCCCATGTCCCCACCCCCACCCTGACTACAGGAATCCACCGCCCTCCATCACCCGCCACTCCCTGGCTCTGTGACCACGGGCACGAACTCATCCTCTCTGTGTCCCCCCCAGTGAAAGAGATTAGGGGACCTGAGAGGGACTGAGATATCTATGGGTCATCTGGCTCCTCAGGGGCCTCTATTTCCCCATCTCTGAAATGGCACTAACTCCACTAGGGACCGATAGGAGCGCCCCACCAGCCACCGGCTCCGCTTGCCTTTTGTTTGAGGCTCGCAGTAGGCCCCCAGCTGTTTCTCAACTAAGCAATCAGTGGTCCAGGTGGAAAGAATGCACACACATACCCCCCCTCTCCACGCGCCCCCCCCCACAGCCTCCACCCCTTCGCAGAATCCCTCTCCCCACCCCCAGCCCGGGCAGACTAAAATAGTCATTAAGCAGGTTTCAAAAGATGTCAGTAGCTTATAATTATAGTCGACATCCTTCTGAGATAAAAGTGATTACCTTGGATGCAAATCGCTTAGCAACCAATCAGGGCGGCGGGCGGCGCCCGCGGAGGTGACCGGCCGGCAGCGCAGCCCTCCTCCCTCGGCCGGCCGCACCGCACAGGCGGCGAGGAAGCGCACAATAGCTCTTGACACGCAAATGGGTTAACACAATAAAGGCGGCTCCGGCCGGTGCTGGGGGAGAGCAGCAATTCCCGGCCCGCGGGAGGTAATAAAGCGGCCCTTTTGTGCGCGCCTCCTCGTTCTCACCCCCGCCCAGCCCCAAGGAATCGCTGCCTGATTGAATTACGGTTCATGAATACGAGCTGCTTGCCTGCTTCCTCTGGCTGGGGAGGGTTGGCAAAGCACAGTGGGCAGGCGGGAGGGAGGTTGGGGGAGGACACCCTGGCCAGGCCCCAGAGCCCCCTGGCACTCAGATGGGAGCCACGTGTGCTCAGCACCATGCGGGCTCACCACGTGGGGGCCCCCTTGCTGAGGTGCTGGAAGGGTAGGGGACCCCAAGCCCAGAGCTGGGTCTTCTGCTTTGGGCTCCAAGACCCTGGGAGAGCTGGAGATTACGCTCATAACAGGTATACACTACATTTATCGAACGCTTACTGTATGCCGTGGCCTGCAGTAGCCCTGGCGGAATGCCCACCACGCCCCTGGGAAGTGGGTGCCGCTTGTAGCTCTTCACAGATGAGGAAACCAAGCCTCAGAGGGTCAAAGCCACGCAGCGGGGTCACACAGCCAGTCGGTCCCAGACCCAACCGTCCCAGAGGCTGGTTCTCTGCCGTAAGCCTCTCTGGGAAGCTTCAGGTTTCTTATCACAGACATCAAGCAACTAGGCAGGGCCTAGACCTAGTCTAGCTGCGAGGCTCCAAAGATCAGGTCACTGGAGACTCGTGAAACGACCGGGCACGGCGAGGAGGGAACCTTAAGTGGAGGCTGCCCCACCGGAGACTCCAGGATACAAGCCACATCCGGGCCACCCTGCCCCAGTCAACCCTCAGATAGCTCTGAACCACTCACTCCTCTGGGACAGCCCGGACTGCTCTTCTATATGTCCCTTTGGGGACTCATGTCCCATCTTCTTCACATATTGCGCCCCCCCCCCCCCCCCCCCCCCCGCTGCTGGGCCAGGAGCTCCACCCATTAAAATGCACCCAGTCTTGAGCCTGCCACCAGCAGAGCCTGCCAGCTCTGGGTGGCTGAGGTCCCTGGGTGACCCAGGGCCATCACAGGCCCCTCTAAGCAAGCCCAGGGGGCCGAGCAGAGGACACACGGGAGCTGGCTTCTTGACTATCTCTGCCAGGTGGGCTTCAGGCTACACATTCCTCCTCCTCGTCCTCCCAGGGCTACAGAAAGGGGCCCAGCCCAGCAGGTGAGGGCCACAGGCTGAGGTCACAAGGCCTGGCAGAAGTTGCCACTGTGCTCGACTGGTCTCTCACCCAGGAACCCATCCCAGGGCAGGGGTGCCTCCCCTTGTGCCAGTGTGTGTGTGAGGTTGGGAAGGTCCTGCTGCAGATTCTAAAAGCCAGGGCCACTGAGGTCCTGGCTGAGCACCTACAAAAAGACCATCCCTTCCTTGGCTCGAGCCTCGGGTCTCTCATCCGCAAAATGGGTCACGGCGGCACAGGGCCACCCCAAGCAGCAGCTGAGATGCTGCAAAATGCCTGGCACTCTGGGAGACGCTGGGTAAACTGGCAACTCCCCCTGCTTGTCGTCTGGCGCTCGCTGCCAAGCCCGGGGAGCCGCCGACGGAAGGGAACAGAAGGAGTTACCCAACCCGACAGCCTTTCCCTCCGCCTTGGCTGAGGGAGTGTAAATACTCCACAGAGGGCCTCCAACCGCCTGTGTGTGTGTCTCTGGCGCGCACTCCAAGTTTGTTTCTAAACTGGGAAGTGTCGAGAGGCCGCGCAAACAGCCCTGTGCCCGCAGCCTCCCCCCCCCCCGCCCCTCCCCACCCCCCAATCTGCTGTTCTAGTGCTGTCCCCGGAAGCTTGTGTTTAAGGAAACTGTTTCAGCTGGAAATACCACCGCCACAGCAAACCCCCAAAGCAGCCCTCCTGGTGGTGTTTATTGACCTGTTAGAAGAAAATCCCGGGAGGAGGAGGAGGAGGAGGAGGAGGAGGAGGAGGATGGGAAATGCTGTCTGTACTGAGAAACCGGGGCCGGCTTCTCAGAATGCCCGCTGCTCATTCCTCCTCACTCTCACCTGTCCCCTCACCGTGGGAGCCATGAGGCCAGGTTCCCCCACCGTTCCTAGGAATTCGACTGTGGATGTTTCACCTGTATCTAATCCTGGCAGTCATTGCTGGGCTGGGCATAGACGTGGCCCAGGAGTTCTCGGGGCTCTGCACTGTACAGGGCTGCTGTGAGCCTGTGGTGGGGAGAGGGGGTTCTCGCCGTCCCCACCCATCCCCCCCTCCCCCGGCCCTGGCAGAGATGGACACATTCAGACCTTGGCTCCGACTGGCCCTGCATTTGCTTAATAAGCATCCATCACACCGCTTGTCAAAATCATCTTAAACACCGGAAGGAGAGTGGCTTAGGCAGGGAGTTCCAAGCTGGGCCAGGGCCCCTCACCTTGGGGTTGAACAGCAGGGGGTGGGGGGTTCCCTGGACAGACACACAGACCAGGAAGGTCGCAGCTCCTCTCTCTCTGGCTGGGAGCAGCACACTCCCATTCTCAAGAGAAGCAGCCCTGCTTTTCTGTGGGGACCCCGGGAACTTCGGTTGCTGGCTGGGTAACATGGTGGGGGTCACGGGGGCCTCCTTTAGAGCATCCTGCTTACAAGTGGGAGGCTGCTCTTCAGGGAGCTGGGGGCTCCCAGGAGACGCAGGGGAGAGTCCGGAACACCTGTCCTTAGGGGCAGGAAGCCTCGGCGGCGGCGGGGACAGCTGGCACTGGCTCCCTCCCCCACCTCAAGTGGTGACTGGGGATTTAGGTCATAAGATTGCAGCGGAGAGGATGGGAGGCGATGGCCTTCACCTCCTATTACCACCCGAGGGCACCCGGCTCTGGCCATTCTGGCTCTGGGTTCAAGGCCAGCTGCGCTGTGGCCACAATCCTCTGACATCAGAGGTCAGGCAGTGATGTCACATGCAGCCCGCTGGGACATGCCGTCTTGGTGAGTTATTTGTTAACAATAGAGACACACATGTCTTGCCTCAGAGGACACGATCCTCAGACAGAAGTTTTGGGACTCCACACCTCTGGCCCTTCAAGGTCTCAAAGGTTGCTTTGGAGACCCTCCATGCTGGCTCACCCTGGATGTTCCCCCAATCAATCCCTACAAACTACAAGAGTTCCCCGGGAAATTTCCAGGGGGCAGAGCCACCTTTGTTAGCTCCATGGGTGGGGTGACCTTCCCTCTCTGGCATCTGCCGAGGCCCAGCAGAATACCCACCAGGGGTCCCCACCCTCCACTCCAGCCTGTCCATATAAGTTATGTGGGCAGGACAGGGGCTGACAAGAAGCCCTGCTGCTTCTGGGCGCTCCACAACCTAGGGCCCCCTTGAGGGCCGGTCCAGATTGCCCGGTTGCCAGAGGCTGCTCCCAGCTCCAATCCCAAAATCCCGAGCCCCGCAACTCACTGTGTCAGCCAGGCAGGCGAAGGGCACCAAGTCTCAGAGGCCACGACGCTCCAATCTGCGGGTCGCGGCCATGCAGGGGTGGGTGATAAAGATTGCCCGAGGAAGGCCCTCCCCCCCGCTTGGGGGGGCCGATGCTTTTCTTCGGCTGGGAAGGGGAGCTGTCGGTGAGGGCGATCCCTACGCCCGAAAGCGCCGTCCGAAGTCGGGGAAGGGGGTTCCTCTGCTTCAGCACCGGTCACGTCCGCCCGGGACCCCGGCCGCTCGCGCGCTCAGGCGGTGCATCCTCGCCGGAGACTGTGCTCCATGCGTCCGGCGGGAGGCGCTGCGCCTCCCTTCAGGGCCCGGCTCACCGCGGCAGCTCTGCCCGCGCCTCTCCCAGGGCGCCCTCTCCGTCCGCTCTGGGAGGCCGGCGGCCGCGGCCCCTCTCGCCAGCCCCAGCTGCAGCCTGTCTTTGTTGCTTCCTCTCGCTTGCCCGCCCGCCCTCTGCTTGCAGCTCCCGGGTTTGCCCGGGGGGTGAAGAGTCCGTCTCCTCGGAGGATTGCACGCACCTGCAGCGGCCCCGGTTCCTCGCCCGGCGTGCACCGGCCCCCGCAGGTTGCAGAGAGCAGCGCCGAGAACGCACCGGCCCCTCCTCCTCCTCTTCCTCCTCCTCCTCCTGCTGCTGCTGCTGCTGCTGCTCCGAGCCCCGGGTGTGGGGGGAGGGGAAGCCGGCGAGCAGCGGCAGTGGCAGCCGCAGCGAGCGACAGAGGCTGGGATGCAGCCTCGCGGGCCTTGGTGCTGAGGACCAGCAAATCCAGCTGGCGCAGGGCAGACTCGAGGATGGAGAGCCGTGCAGCCGGCGTGGGGCTCGAGCGCTGCAGCAGAGGCGATGCACCGGTCTCTCCCGCGCCTGTGGCCCCGGACAACTCGCGGGGCTCCCGGGGCTGTCGCCTCGTACCGCCCGGCACCCTCGCCTAGCCTCGGGCCCCGGTCTCGGCCCGGCCTGGCCGGCGCGCGCAGCCTCTTCGCCGAGCTGCCGGCCCGGCAGTGCTGCCCGCTGCTCCGCTCCGGCGCGACTGACAGGCGCGAGCGCCCGCTGCAGCCGCGGCGTCTCGCCCCCGGCCCGCCCCCCGCGGCACAGCCCAATCAGCAGCAGCCGAGAGGCGGTTACCACGGTGACGCGGCGCCGCGTCCTCCGCGAGGCGGGGCCGGGGGCCGCCACGCGCGCTTTTCGCGGCAAAATTCAAAGGCCGGCAGGGCGGCTCTCCAACCTCTTTTCCCCAAGCTGGGATGAGGCGGGGCCTGCTCCTAGAGGACTTCAACTCCCGGCATGCTGCGCGCCTAAAGCCGGCAAAGGGGCCCCGACTGGGAGCGCAGAGCATGCTGGTAGTTGTAGTCCCTTTGTTGAGCTCCTAGGGTTGGGAAAAAACAGTATTATTTATGGAGTGCCTATTTGAGGGTAGGCACTGTGTTAAGTGTACCATCTGCATTATTTTGTTTACTCTTGGAACAGACCTTATGAGGAGTGTGTTAAAGATAATAAAAAGGTTGGCGTGCAGCTAAATGGTAAAGGGTGCACAAGTGTGCATGGCCCAGTGTCAGTGACACACACACACACACACAGAGCAC